TCGACGAACGACTGCGCGGTTAACGCGTCTGCCACGCACTCGCCCTTGCTGTTGATCACTCGGGCCGTTGCCATTTAGGATGGCGCGGGCGCCATGTTAGGCGGGGCGACTTGGGTGGCGCGTTTGGGCGTGGCGCGGCTCTTGGCAGCTCGCCGGGCTTTCGCTTTCGGCTTTGTGGCCCCTTCCTGCGACTGCTCATCGCGCGATGCGCCCTCCAGATGGCGTGTCTTGAGCAGCCGCGCGTGCGTTTCGCGGCTGCCTGAAAAGCTCCCGTTGATCGCGCTAGCGTTGCTTTCATCTTTCTGGTGCGGGTTCGTGTAGAGACCGCCAAGCTGGTACTGCGCGCTTCGTGTTCAATCGCGCTGCCAGCCTGGGCAATTCCTCGCCGGCTGCTTCGCCGGCATGGAGACAGGTCGACGCTGCTGCCATCGCCTCCTGCGCCGCCGCCATGGCCTCGATACTTTTGCGGTGAAGCCCGAGGTTGCGCTCTGTCCACGCGACGACAGAGTGATCTAGCGGACAACTCTCAGGCGCGGTGCCGTTTAAATGCTGGCACTCTTGCGGCCCGTCGGCATGAGCGCATGCAGCTGGTGCTAGTCACCTCTGGCGGCCCTCGCAGCTGCAACGGTCTCGAGATCCTGGAAGAGCTTCTTCGCCATCGCGTCGCTGCTCATAGCCTGCGTCCGCACGATTGGCACTCAACTCGCCCGCATGCCTGGGCCTGCCTCGTGGGCCTGCTCGAGAAGCGCGTCTTCCTTGACAATGCAGATATGGGCTATGACCGTGTTTTGCGCAGGTGCGCAAACGACGCCAAGTTTGCACCCGGCGGGCTCCTGGTCGATGTTCAGGTCCGGGCCCCACATTTGTGACCCCGAGAATGTGGTGAGGGACGCGTACCTCGAGGCCTTGGAGGGCGAGATCACGTGCGTGAACATGGATGGCGCAAGCTCGCAGCTCGCAGCCGCATGGTTGACCTGCTGCTGCGCCAGCGAACGACGGCCGCAGCCTGGCGCGAGTCCGGCTGTGCCCTGGTCCTATGGGCTAGCGAGAGCGCCAGCGAGTAGGCTTCGAACTCGCGGTTTGCCATGTACGCCGCTGAGTTTTGTCATAGTTCATTGCTGTGGGCCAGGGGCCCGATTCCATGCAGCGTCGCTCTGTCAAGGCGCAGGTGCCGTAGCCTGTCGCCACTCGCAAATGCGCGCGGTGAGATCTGGTAGCGTAGCCACGTAGATGCATTTGAAGCCGCGATTGGTGCATTTTTTGCGTCACCTGCGTGCTCCGTACCTCGGCGCGCCAGGCGCAATATTCGCCATCGGCTTCGGCGCTGTCCTGAGCCGTATTGGACAAGGAGATGGCCGCGTGTCTGCGCGTCCTACCCGATGATAGCCACGCCGAGGTTTCTGGCTGCCCGTGAGAACAAGGACACGTAGGCTTTCAAAAGCTTTTTCTCGCGCAAGTTATCGCTTATCGCTGACTATGGCAACTGCGAAGTAATTCGCCCTCCGCCTGGCCGCGCGCGCAGCATCCGCGCGTCTATGAGCAGCGCTAGATCAGACTAGGCGAGACGCACTGTCGCGCTCCAGATTTTCCAAACAGCAGCGTTGCCAAGCGATGCGTGAAGCCGAAGCGAGGGCGCTGCTCCAGTGTTGGAGGCACCATAAAACACGCCCTTTACCTCAAGCACATGCGACCTCGACTTGCTCTGGGGAGTCAATATGCAGTGCCAGCATACAGCGTTGAATCGCCAGGCATCGACAACATGTCATGCCACTTCGACATCATGACCATGCAGATTGCCAAGGCGTTCCGCTGCACGCTCCCCATGCTCCGCGACGACCAGCTGACCAATCTGCGTCGCTGGGCCGAACTTCATTGCGCCCAGTCGATCGTTTTCCGTGACGACCGTGGCAACGCCGTGTTCGTGGGCCTCAAAGCAAATCTCCGCACTTGCGCCAGCTTCTCGCGCACCGTTCGTACTGCTCTGCGCCGCCTCTGCATCGATGTGCCGCTACGGGGGAGCTGGTGCACCCTCATCACGCCCCGTGAGGCCCTGACTATCTGTGCGAGCGATTTCGCCTCTCGCGGCAGCACTTCCACCGGCAAGCGACGCGGACGCTGGCGCGCGACAGCGCATTGCCTCGGCACATGCAGACGATGTCCGCGTCGTTGCGCTCAGCGTTTGAACATGCCCCCGCTCACGGATTCTTGCACACCAACGCTTTGACATCCATTTTTAATTCAGCGTTGTCGTCGAGGTACAGACCATGTTCTCGACCGTACAGAAGCGAGACTTGCAATGTGCCGCTTACTGCGCACGGCTGACAATTCTGGAATTCGTCGACGAGTTGTTCGAATGGCAGGTGCCTGCGCCGTCGCAAAAACATCTAGCGCCTTCTGTGAGCGCGTCCATTATTGCTTTGTGCCCCTCGGTCCACCGCTCTCCCCTCACGAGAACGACGTCGATTGCGCCTGGAAGCTGCTCCAGAAACGGTGCAACCCCGCAGGCCATATAACGAACATCCACAGAAAGCGGAATCGCTCCGTGCGCCGCTATTCGGTCCAACGTGTTCCACACATCCCATAAGTCCAACGAATCTCGCCTGCCGCAAAAATTGCACATACTGGGATCTTGCGATGCTGGCGTCCGGGCCTCTGGGCCTCCTGGTATTCTTGGCCTCTTGGCCGCCTGGCATCCCTGGTATATTGGCGTGGTGGCATCCTGGCTTCCTGTTATTCTGCAGCCCTAGCATCATGTCTATCGTTAGCCGTCGATTGTCGCGCACATGTGCACCAATGATATTATCATGTGGGGCCCTACCGTCAGAGAAATTATCTTTCTCTTTGTCTTCCTAGGCACCAACAAGGCCACGAAAGGAACCTAACAAGGACCTGGAAAACCCGAAATGGTCTTTATTGGCTAGGGGCGGCCCCAAGGGCGCCACCAGAGGGCCAAAAACAGCCCCAAGAGAAGCCCAAGACCCCTCAAGAAGGACCTGAACTACATAATTCTAGGACAAGCCCAAACACCCCAGCCAAGAAGGTTAACGGGATCCAAAGAAAATGCCCAAAGACAGAAACGAGCCTGAACAAGACTTGAGAGAGTCCTTGATGCCCCCCAAGGGACACTGAGATGTTCCAACAAAACGCCGACCGAAACGAATTGGCCATCAAACGTGATTCCGCGAAGCTCTGGGCACTCACCTGGCATGGTTTGAACTATCGCATACATTCGGGAGCCCACGGATACTGGAGAACTCTGCGAACTAGCATGTGCTGCGGTTCTTCCTCCTGACCCTCCTCCTTGTAAGCACAGTGCACGGTACACCAGGGGGCAGCAGAACCTGACATGGGACGCTGCAGGCATGAGCAATTACGGACGCGGAGACCAACGAGAGGATAATATTCTGAACGAACAGGATCCTTTCTTCCACTTCCATTTCGAGGACGAGGAGGGGAGGCAGGGACAACTTCCTTCTTCTTCTCCTCCTCCTCCCCTTGCTCCTCCTCCTCCTCCTCTCCTCCCATGCTCCTTCTCTCCTGCACCAGGGCGTCGTGCAAGACAAGATAGATAATACTCCGCATGGATACGTGCAATTACTGCATTGTTCACAGAAGTGTACGGGAGCACATGTACGGAAGGCCGCGGGACGTACAAGAATACATAGAGAGACGCCAGGCAACATGAGAGCTCGAAGGAATGCGGAATATGACACAAACATGCATAGAGTACGGTTGAACGGAAACTCGCAAGCAGACGCTTTCAGGCTACAAGATGATAGCCCATACCTATGCGACCACCCCTCGGGTGATAAGGAGGTTTGGGGGTGGGGGGAAAGAAGCAACTGCTGGCAAATGCGATGGGTGTGATGATGACGATGCTGGTGACCCGCCCTCAAGATAGTGACGACGTGTGATGACGATGTTGCGCTGCGATGTAATGCCGCTACTGTTCTAACTGTCGATCTCGCGCTCGATCTCACTGGCGATCTCAATATCGATTCCTCTGTCTTTCTCGCTGGCGATCTCGCTGCCGACCTCACAGCCAACGTCACAATCAACCTCGCTGTCGATCTCACTTCTGATCTCAGTATCCATCCCACCCTAGCGATCTCATGATCCGTCCTCGAGGCACGAGGAGGAGGGGGAGGGGGAGGGGGGGGAGGGGGAGGGGGAGGGGAGGAGGAGGAGGAGGAGGAGGAGGAGGAGGAGGAGGAGGAGGAGGAGAAGGAAGAGGAGGAGGAGGAGGCCCGAGGGCTCAAGTTGCGGCGAGCAAATCCACTTCACCATCGATGCCGCGGCAGGACGCCCTCGACCCTCGGCCGCCGCCCGCCCGCCCGCCGCAACACGCCGACGGCACACCCACTGCGGGACACCCACGGGTCGCCACTGCGGGACACCCGCGGGCCACTGCTGCCCCTCCCCTGCCTCCCTCCCCCCCTCCTCGCACCCCCTCCTCGCACCTCCTCCTCCTCCTTCTCCTCCCGTCCCTCCCTCCGCGCCCCTCCCGGCACGCCCCGGGGCGGAGGGGCGGTCCACTGCATCCGGATCGCCCTAGCGGCGGCGGGGTCACTCCTCTCGCGCGCCCACGCAACTTCGCCTCGTCCGCGCACGCGGCACGGAGACGAAGCGGAAACCGATTTCCCGGTGGGGGGCTCTCCGTTCCACGGCAGCGTCACCACCCAACCTCCGATGACTACATGACCATTATCATAAATCTAGCAGGGGAATCCGACATAACGGAGGCTTGCAAAGGCAAGCCAACGTTTATGACCACACATGAAACATACTTGACGCACCGTGCTACAGTGGCAATAGCGCCATGACTTAACCTGCATGGGACATTTGTGGGTTCATACGAGCCCATAAGAACCCTTTGGGTGCACATTATGTGTAGCACAATGAATGCCCACGGGTAAAGGGTGACAACACAACGGAACACATTAGCACAACTGTAGATTCATGGACCGATGAGCAAGATATTGGAGAGAAGAACGCAACGATTTTCTGCCATCCGCCAAGTGTGACACTCAAGAACGAGTTTCCAGACCGCTGCGCTGAAAAGCTAGACAACCGACACGCGTCCATTGGGTGCTCCTGCTCGCGCTGAAAACTTGCCTGCCGGCGTGGAAGAAGTGCCACCTCGCACCAGTCAAGGCTCAGAAAAACATTCACACAACACAAAAACTTACGAAGATGGTCGAGAATATCCGACACTACACAAATCCGCCTCCGTGTTCTCAAGGCACGATGTGGAGCGTGTTCATGTCAGCAGAAGCGTCACCCCAATGTTCCAAGCAATGCTTGCACTAAGGGGCTGAGTGTGCTGTTAGCAAGAGGCATCAGTCGGCGCCCAACAAAGGTCCAGCGTGTGCTGTGGGCGGAAATTGGCCATAACATCCCAAAACAGAAATCCCGTTTGCCGTGGGCGGTCACGAAAACCGTAAAACTTCGCGTCCGAATCCATCCTGTGAAACCTCGTATGTAACATGGGACATGATGTAGGACTCTCGTAAGCTCCCGCCCAAGAGATATGTGTGCCGTGGCGCTGGTGGGTGGCCTAGAACAGATAATCCCTTGTTCGCGGAGGGAAGTGGTGATGGACATCAATCCAGAAAATCCCGCACATAAATCCCTTGTTTGCAGGACGCGGTGGGCGCCCACGTAACCTCGTCCGTAAGGTCCCATGTGTGGCGTAGGCGAGTAGGCACATAAGCGCAACCCAATCGAACAATTCCCGTGTGTGCTATGGACGGTGGATGGGGCCCAATGAGCGCTTGCGTAGCCCGCTCTCGCCCGACCGACCCGGACCTTGTCCGGGTCGGCTGGCAAAAAATGCGCTGCGGGCGGCACATGGCAGAAACATATCGTCAACACGGTCCGGTCGCAAAAGCCCCGTGCGTGCTGCTGGCGGTGGTAGGTGGCCACACGCGGTCCCTCCCCCTGCGGTCTCGGGTAATGATGTACGTCGTAGGTGGTGGTGGGTGGCCACAGGGCCCGGTACGGCACGTGGTGTCTAGTGTGCCGTGGGTGCTGGTGGGTGGCAACGCGGCGAGCACACGGTCCCGTGTTCGAGGGGGGCCTGGCCGAAAGTGGCCACGCGGTACTGTCCACCGAAGCGATTGCATAGGGGTCTCGCCCACAGGGGCCTGGCCTCCGTTGCACTAGTGGCTACCCGAGACTGTCTGGGGCTTTTGCGCCAGTCTCACACTTAGGAGCTGAAATCGTGGTGCCAACGCGAGACAGGCAAAATCTGTTTTCTCTTAGCGAATCAAAGAGCTCTTTTCCAAAGCAGCCCGCGAACTTTCCCGGCCGCCAATCTCGTTCGGCGAGCCACAAGCAGTGTTTTCGGAACGTCGAAGAATGCTTTCGGACATTTCCTGCACCAACCAAGAACTTCATCAGGGCAGCCCGTGAGGAAATCTCCCGAATGCGTTTCTGGAACAAGAAGGTTCATCGAAGAACAGAAAACGACGAGGATAACAGCACAGGAAGAGAGGACAGGGAAGAACACATACGAGGGAGAGGGAAGGGAAAACACACACAAGGAGGCGAAGCTGTGGTAGGAGGGGGGCGAGGAGGTGAAAAGTGCTGAGAGAAAAACGACAATGGAGATCACAATAAATGTGTGCAAGTTTTGGCAAAACGAAAGTCCCGAGCGCAATCCCATCGCGAACACTGCCAGAAACGCCAAAGCAACGCGAACGTGATTGCATCTATCCCCGAACCAGGGTTCGAAATTCCAGGGCAGCGACTTCAACGCAGACCCGTCAGCCCAAGTATTGGAAAGGGACGTACGCAGCCAAACGAGGTTTGACAACATGTGCGTTTGCGAACGTGCTTTTCAGCAATGTGCTTCTTCAGCGGCACACGCTTACCCTCGGGGCCGTCTTCCCCCCTTGGCATGTGCTTGACTGTTTGCGTCGCCTCGTTTACACGCCAGCGTGTTGCGGGCGTTGCTGGCCTTGGTTTGGCGAGCCTCTGGCCGCCGTCTGTGCCCTCTCCTCTCTTGCTCCTCTTTCCCTGGCTTGCTGGACCCTGGCGTCGTGAAAAGAAAGTGGCAAGAGCTTCACGGCTTGCCGCTGCAAGGCTGTCGCCTGGCTGGCGCGTCTGCCGCAATGCACCTCCCAAAGGCCGCGTCCTCTACCGCTCTTCCTGGGCTCGCTCCCCTGCGTTCCCCTGGTCGCCATCTGGCTTTTGTGACGTGGCGTCGCATGCAATCTCCCCTTTTTCCTCCCTTCTGCCGCCAGCGCACCCGCCACTGCGACACCCGCCTTGTGGTGCTTCTGTCGCTGCAAATGTCTGCCAGTCGGTTCTCCCGCTTCGGGACCCGCCTGCACCTGCCTGCACGACTGGTCCCCGGCGCCCCTCCAGTTGTTTGTGTTTTTGCTGTTGTTTTTTTTTATGTAAGAAAGAAGCGAGGCAAAACACGACGTTGGGGAAGCTTCAGGAGGGCCTTGTATGCGTCCTCCGGACGATTCCGAGCTTCAGGACCGATCGCCCTCCTGCTCTGCTGCCACGCGCGTCGCGGTCCATCGCCGGTCCCTGCGGCTGGCCACCTGCAGTCAAAACGTGCACTAAGGACGGAGGGTAACAGACCCTTTTTTTAACCCCAGTTCACGCTGAGTTATTTAGGTTTCCTGTCGAGAAGGTGGGCGAGAGACCTCGCGCAGTGTGAAAGTGTGCAGCAGCAGGAGGGTAACAGACCCTTGGGTCTTCTCGTGGCGGAGGGCGACCACCCCCCCAAAGGTACTGGCCAGTGGACACCGCAAAGGACGGGCCGCAGAGGCAAGGACCCAGGGGTTCCCCCAGAAGAGGCGCGCGTCCGTACAGGGCGCGCGTTGACCACGGCCACCTTCCTTGGGAGGCAACTACTGGGAGGTCTTCGTCGGAAAGATTAAGGAAGATCGAGCCCCATTCGGGAGCTGTTACGCCGGAGTGGGCCTCGGATTAAACGGGATGAAGCCGGATTAAGCGGGATGAAGCGGGATTAAGCCGAATTTCGGACCAGGGCAAAATCAGAATTTGACCTCCCAAGAGTTGCACCCGAATCTTCCTGTCTGTCTCGCGGCTCGTCGCTCGAGCCTGGCTCGGGCTCGCCTCTCGGGCACCTCTCTGCCCGTGCGCGGCCTCTCTCTCGTCCGCAGCTGGGCCACGCGCCGCCTCTGGCCGCGTGCCTGCCGCGACGTCGCCTGTGCGTCCCCAGTAGCTGATGCGTCTCCTCGTCGCCCTCCTCCCTGCTCCTCTTCGTCCCCTCCCTCCTCCTCTCCTCCGTCCTCCCTCCTCGTGACCCCCCCTTCCTCTCCCTCTTCTTCCTCCCCCTCCTCTTCCTCCCGCTCCTCTTCCTCCCCCTCCCCCTCCCCCTCCCCGTCCCTCCCCCTCAGCCCGAGAGGCGCTTGCGCCGAGGGACGACGACGTGCAGAGGCTGAGCCAATACCTGCACGACTCCGAGACGCGCCTGGATGCGCACCGTCTGTGCGTTCCCAGGCGGTCCGCACGCAGCCCGCCCTGCCCGCAGGTATCTGTGGCTTCGTCTCGGGGGCTCCTTCCTCTCCCGGCCCCCATTCCCACCCGTCTGCCTGCGCTTGCTCTCCTCTCCCTCCTCCTCGCCTGTCGTCCCTCCTCCTCCCTTCCCTCGCCTTGACCCTGGTGAACAAACCTCCCTTTAGCAAACCTCCCTTTCGTGAAAACGGCCTGGGACCGAAACCGACGGACCTGGACCCGCAAAAATGACGGCCGCGACGCCCTCTCGCGAACCGAAAACGGCCAATTCCTTAATCAACGTGTCAAGGCAAGAGGTCTGTCTCAACCTCCAACCCCCCCCCGCCCGGCTCGCCTCTTCCCGCCGGCCCGCCCGCCCGCTTGACTCCGCTGGCCCTGGCCTCCGCCTGCGCGTGCGCAGCCGTCTGCCTGTGTCCATTGGCCCGCTGTTGGCCAGGCGTAAACGGGCCCCCAAGCCTCTGGGGGGCGACCTGAGCTGGGAGGCCAGGAACATGAGGGATGAGGTCTTCTTCCTGCAGATGTATCAGGCCAAAAACCGCCCAGAATTCGTATCCCTGGTGCGAATGGCGGGGACTTACGCGAGGCCAGGTCTTCATCGTGCTTATTAGGGTTCGGGGTTCTTCTGTTCGCGGTGAACTTTCCCTCTCTGTCGTCGCGCAGCACAAGCTGTTGGGCCATGTCGGGCTACTCCTTAGATCTAGGGCCGACTGCTGCTTCATACGATGCCGCCGTCTTGCCGACCCCGCATCGGCGCTGTGATTCGGCAGTGGGCGACCGGACTCAGGTGGGTCGTTTTTTCCCAGTCGGTTTGCGGCTCCGCTTTGCAAAAGAACTGGCTTGCATACTTCTGTCGCGAAGCGCGAAAAACCGTGACCGTACAATCCAACGAGGCGTCTGACAATATCACCCTCTTGGAAACATGTCCCCATCTGTGGATACGCTTCCTATTTTCGGCTTTGACAAACCTCCCTTCAATAAACCACCCTTCAACGGAAACGGCCTAAGACCGAAACCGACGGACCTGGATCCACAAAAATGACGGCCGCGACGCCCTCTCGCGAACCGAAAACGGCCAATCCGCTAGTCGACGTGTCAGGGTAGGAGGAGGAGGAGGAGGAGGAGGAGGAGGAGGAGGAGGAGGAGGAGGAGGAGGAGGAGGAGGAGGAGGAGGAGGAGGAGGAGGAGGAGGAGGAGGAGGAGGAGGAGGAGGAGGAGGAGGAGCAGGAGGAAGAGGGGGAGGGGGAGGGGGAGGAGGGAGGAGGGGGAGGAGGAGCAGGAGGAAGAGAGGAGGAGGAGGAGCCGGAGGAGGAGGAGGAGGAGAGAGGAGGAGGAGGAGGCGGAGGAGGAGGAGGAGGAGGAGGAGGAGGAGGAGGAGGGAGGAGGAGGAGGGAGGAGGGAGGAGGGGGAGGAGGGGGAGGAGGGGGGAGGAGGGGGACGGGGAGGAGGAGGAGGAGGAGGAGGAGGAGGAGGAGGAGGAGGAGGAGGAGGAGGACGAGGAGGAGTAGGAGGCGAGGAGGAGGAGGAGGAGGAGGAGGAGGAGGAGGAGGAGTGGAGGAGGAGGAGGAGGAGGAGGAGGAGGAGGAGGAGGAGGAGGAGGAGGAGGAGGAGGAGGAGGAGGAGGAGGAGGTCTATGGGAGGGGGGAGGAGGAGGAGGAGGAGGAGGAGGAGGAGGAGGAGGAGGAGGAGGAGGAAGAGGAGGAGGAGGAGGAGGAGGAGGAGGAGGAGG